GACTACATATCATCTGGATGCTTTGACAATTTGACAGGTAATGCAATTTGGCAAACTACAAATAGGACAAAACTCCATTATGTGATTCCAATCTGGGATCCTGTGAAAAACAGAGACCTTCTAATCATGTATTCATTACTGGACGGACAGTGAGTGGAAATTGTCATGGCCACCTGCCACTGCCGTCTGTGCAGTCTGTATTGTTACTGGTTATTCAGTGGGCCGAGTGGTGGAAAGCTCTCTGACGTTGTTTGGTTTGTTAGGGAACTTTGTTCATTTATTAAAACACGCAAAAGGGCTTTGCTGTATTAACCACCGATGGGTAAAAAAAAAAACAAAAAAAAAAACAAGGGCTCTAAATGTGGCATCAATAAGAGACAGCATGTTCTGTGAGAGAAACACAAAGGCTGCAGGTGACTCTCTGAGACGAACAGGATGTGCAGAGGTGAAACTTGATCCAGCGTGGAGCAAAAGTGGAGAAGCACTAAGTGGATTCATGATCTTTGAATGCTTTATTGATTCAATCAGCGCCTCTCCAGGCCATACATGGAGCTGTGCTTGTCTCGCTGCATGACATTTTAAAATGGAAATCAGGTCATTAAACATGTGCAAGGGAACAGAGACGGACCAGGAAGTGAGGAGCGTGGCGCATTAATTAATCATGAAGCTTTCAATATGACATGACACTTTTTTTTTTTTAAATCAATTCTGCATTCATGTAATATTTGTTTCCCCTTCTTTAGTCGTGGCTAATTTCTTCTGGGGATGGTCTGTTTAGCATTATGTGGAAAGGACGACAGCACGCAACAGAAAGCCACTTACACAACTCCATCCCGTCTCTATGCTGTAAAAATAACAAGGGAAACAGCTCTCTCCCTTAGATGGACCAGAAGGAACAGTTTGTCTCTCATGTTGTAACCATGATAACAATCAGCCTCCTGATCCAAGTCCACCTCCAGCTTTATAGGAGAGAGGATACGGAGGACCGTGCCAATTCACTCCTACCCGTGGTTTATAGTTAGGAAGGCTCCAGGCCAAAAGAAGTTTAGCCTTTCGAGACCTTATTTCCTTTCATAATTTGTCAACCAAATTAATAGTTTAAAAATCTGAGAGCATTTCTGTACAACAACAGAGCCTGTTTAAAATAGTTGATTCATAACATATTTATTTACTATTCATAGGTGAACTTAGACGTCTTTGCAAAGCCATAATATACACAGATGCAATTCTGGACGTCTTCAAGGTTTGATCCAACGTGAACTAGAGCAGTGGAAAATTTGTTTTATTCTGACCCCTGCTGGAAATATTTGGTGTTGCAGCTCAATCGTTTGAGCAAACTTTATTTATGTGGTACTTTTCATACAAACTACGACAAAAACTGGTTAGTAGATTAAAAATACAACAGAATGATGCTTAATGGTGATGGACATGATATAACTTTAAATGCAATGAAACACCATCTTTACTTCACAAGAAAGCGCCGCAGATTAAAAAATGAGACAGATGTATGTTTTCTACAACACAAACATAAAATAAGCCAACTAAATAAGAACAGTAAAGAATGCATTAACTATAGACTGATAAGTGGAACAATTTTAAAGAAGAAAAAGTAAAAAATAGTCATAACTAAATAATTCAAAGCTAAAATTGCTGAATTTGAGGCTGCTAATGTGCCTCAAAACCAAATTTAAAAAAAAGAATTGTAAGTTAATACCTTGAATATAAATATAAGAACGTCCCCACCCAAACTAAAATAAAGGCTACATTACACAGACATGTTTCCAATTTACTATCTATGGGTTCATGAACCACGACGGACTTAAGAGTTTTGAAAACAAGTAAAATTCATTTAAAATTCAATTTTTAAAAAAAGGCGTAATAAATCTTTAATTTAAAGATTTTAAAATTTGTCAGAAATTTGTGCTGGTAGGTTTTTGCTGAAAATCAGGCAACTGGATTTTGGAGCCTGAATATTTCCTCCAGCAGATGGCGGACGTTAGTTACTGATCTTAAAGTAGAGCATTTAGGTTTTACATTGGCGTTTCTCTTTTTCTAACGTTATCTTCGCTCTTGAAAAAATACGCCTTTGCTGGGGAGAAATGTTTTGACATAATATCGATTTAGCTGCACACAAACTTATAAAGCGGTTACTTATCCAAGATCATGTCAGCAGCCACATTAATTATGAATGACTGATGAGTTACGCAGAGGAAATAGTACAGCTGCTGCTCCTATAGAGTGTAAAGTCCGGTAGGGAGCCTCTAAGATTAGTAAGCAGATGTAGCCAGAGGCTCCTGTTTCCTTTGTGTTGGCTGAAGGATAACAGAAACTCACACTGGAAAACATTATACTTCAAATGAATCAAGAGACAAACACAAATACAGCTTGTAGCTCTGTTATGGAGGACAAATTTAATAATAAAAGCTCTGCTCTGATCTGCACTTCATTTCCTGGCTACTTGACTCTTTAGTTTGGGTCTATTTTAATCCAGCAACTTTCCAGTTCTTTTGTCTCAGTTGCAATAAGAAAGTAACTCAGACAAATGCCATGGTTATTGTACCTGCATATCTTGTTTTGCCTCTTGATGTCACTCCACAACTTCCCAACGGAATTAAGGTTTAGTATTTGCAAAAATGTAAAAGCTGATGGTCACCTTAAGATGTTCAGCGTTCTTCAGTCTTTGTTTCGGTGGCTGCCAACGCAGATTCTGTCTGAGAATTTCTGCCTCTGTAATCATTGGTGAAGGTCTTATTTATTTTCGTTTTTCCAGATATTTGTTTTTACTCCACAGCTCTTAGTTTTGTGATAAGCATGTTGTGCTTGAGCTGTTCTTAAACTGCACATTTTGCTACATATAATAAGAGACAAACTCTTCTCAGACTTCTTTCTTCTTTTTTTTTTAAGTTGAGAATAAATACAGCTTCCTGAGAGTCCTGTTTGAACATGAAAACCCCTAATAAAGGCTGTGAGGTTTATGTTCAGTCTATTCTTCCACATGTGTAGGCAGTTTAAAGGAGCAGTTGTCCTGTGCTTACATAAGCACAAATGTGTGTGTTGTACTCTCAGTTCTAGGTTTGTATCTTTCCTTTGTGAAATGATTCCTTTGTGACTAAACAAACACAACATTAGGCTCTTGTTCTTTCTGGTCTCAGTGTTGAAACACTTGAGTCATTCACCTCCCACCCTCGCCGGGTCAAAGTTTCGTGTCAGAGGTGCAGCGTTTTCTCTGACAGCGGAGCTCTGGCACGGGAAACCTACAGAGGGATGGAGTCATGTTCATTACATCATCTTTCAGGCATGCGCAAACAAGCAGAAAACTGGATCTGATTAAAAGCTGCACATGTGCACCACACACAGACCCACGCCAAGCCCAAAAGGCCCGTCGGTGATCATAAACTCCTGAAGCTAGGAATCTGGAAATGGAGACTTGAGATCCGCAATCACAAGGCTGCAGAGTGACTTTTGTAAACACTCTGATTCTGAAGACGGCAAAATTGGCTTGTTTGTTAGTTGGTGTGTTGCCAAGGAGGTTCTCCGGTTTCTCTGAGGATTTCATGTTTTTGCTCTAAAGTCTGCTCCCTTTGATCTTATAACGAAGTCAGCAACAATACAACTTTTACACATTCATCATGTTTGACCTGCTAAATAAACAGCACATGAATCAGGCTCAGCTGTTTTACATTCATGCAAATATCACATCAAGGTTTCCAGACGCATATACAAACAACTTGGAGGTCTTGGTTTCTGTTTTTAAATAATTCAATATTTTCAAGCACAGTTTCTGATGTCGGTTTGTTATCTTTCAGTAGAAGAAAACATTTGAGTAATTTTATTTCTGTTATTAATTTCAAATATAAGATTTTTTTTCTTTTCATAGGCTGCATTGTTGTAATCACTTTTGGTCTTTTCTTCACAAACTTCTCAATGCTGGGGTTATCCGTGTGGCTTTTCTTTTTTCCTTCCGCTTAACTTTCCATTATATTTTGATACAGCACACTGCGAACTGTGGAAGAAACATAAGAGTCTTTACAATACCATGCAACTTAAAGTTACTATTTTAGAACTAGTTATAAATTAATACAAACAAATCCCAAAGACACCATATGTATATATAAACATTTATTGTTGAGGATATTTTATATTCAGCAGTGCTTTTTAACCTGTCCTTTTTTTAATAATAATAATAATAATACACATTCTTTGTGTTAACAGAGTGTGGAGTTCAGGTACAAAAAAAAATCTCAGCAGTGACTTGTGGGTTATGACACACGTGTGTGTATCTGTGTGCATACTTTCAATCTGAGATGGGATTTTACAGTTAATATACATCTTACAAGCCACCAGATACCAATAAGCCCAAGGAAAAAAAAAAAAAAAAAGTTATCCACTTTAGGTGACTGTTCACCAGAAAACAAAGGAATATAAAAGTAATCTGTCTGGAGGAAATATTAGCAGATTTGGACATGGAAAAAGTGCACAGATATTAAAAAAAAAAAAGAAAAGAGTAAAATATTTTTCCTAAGGAATGTGAAGCTTTTTGGTCAACAGAAACTTGATGTTCACAAGTGAGGACGTCATGCCAGCATATTGTTCCTATAGACAGTATATACAACGTTCAAGTAACTCCTGGTTAGCAGGTCAGAGGAACGTTCTGATCGATGCCCCTGGATTCCCAACTCGGCTCTACCACTGAACCTGTGACGACGAAGGCTTCAAATGACAACTTCAATCTGCAAGACGGAGCTGGAAGGAAACATTTTTCGTGTCTCAGTGAGCTAGCAAATTGTTATAGAAAGGTCAAAACAAAATAAGGGGAAATGGCATTGCTTCATGTAAAAATGTCCAAATTTCTTTTCTTTTTTATAAGTAGACTTTTGTTTCCTGGGGTCTACGCTGTGGAGTTAAAAGCAAGTGGTCTACTGTTGCATCATCTGCACTACGTGTGTTAGTCTTTGGCATGATTGCGCATCAAAATCTTCTCTGATTTGTATTTTTCTAAGTTTTTTTTTTTTTTAAATAAGCATTATACTAAACATTTTGACCTAGTTTATACTTTTTTGATCGAAATAATTGATGTTAAAATTGCAACTGTACCAAAGCAAGATCTTCAGCTAGATTAGAACAGTAAATAAGTAATTTGTTTTTTTTTTGTTTTTTTTTTACACAAGGAGATAAACCAGGGTTATCTACGTGATTTTAACCCACGTCACTGACTGGGTTCAGACCAACCATTACAGCACACCAGGTCCAGTCCTGCCAGCTTTTCAAGAGGGTTTTAATAAACAACACCTGCAAACCACAGCGCCTCATGCTGCCGCGCTCCATTAGAGCCCAGAGTCATCAAAAGTAAGCACGAACTTCTGACAGGTTCTGCTGCTTTAACACATCGTTTCAAAAGAAGCTCTGATCTCAGCCGCAAACAGAACGGGCAACACAAGTCTCCAAATGTTTTTTTTTTTTTATTATTATTTTCAGATTTTCCTCAAAGCTGTTGTTTGTTACTGTGCATGACTACTTCACATGTATTATAGCGCCGTATAAAAGAAAGAAAAAACAAAAAACATGTAAAAAGTCTGGACAGGTAAATATAAAGGCTCAAAATAAGAGCAGCTGAAATGACACGTTTTAAAAACTAATGAGATTTACAACATCGAGAACAAACATAAGAAACATGAACAGGGAGAGGGCGATTCCAGTTATTTCCCTTCTTCTCTGATGTATTGTTCAGGCTGAGCATGCCTTGCCCCATTAGTTTGGCACAGGACTAAAACTTTCACGCAGTGAGATGAGACCAGGGCAATGGCTGAAATTATTCCACGCGATGAGATGAACAGGAGGGTTGGCTCGGAGGAGGAAGGCCGTGCTCCGTCTCTACTGGTCCCGCTCCACTCGCCTCCTGCGGACTGAATACAGCATAAAAGAAAACAAAATTTTTTAAAAAAGCATTAACATATCAGAGATCGGCAAAAAGCAAACATGCGGTATCGTCTCCAAGCTTCACACGGCTGTTAGTCCGACTTAAAGACAGGAAGTGAGACATCGTCAACTTTGTGGTCAAAGTTTAAACCATTTCAACAGCGTGTGTCAGCATGTACAGGAAACAAGAAGTGAGATGTCGTCACTCTCAGGGTTTTCAAACTGTTAATGCAGTGAATGCATCACTCAGACACTGTGAAGGAAGCCTCTGTTACGATCAACCCCTTGACACACCCCATGCATCAGACCTGTGCAACGGCAGCTCTGACAGGGGGAGGAGCTAAAGGAAAGAGGAGAGTTGGTCACTGCTGACTGCAAGCTGAACAGAAGTTCACAGAGGTCTAAATTTAACTTGTCAGGATATTTCCGTAGCAACCGATACCAGCTGATAACTCAGTTGTTTAACTCAGGAGGTTAATTTCATCCGTCTTTGCGTGCGTATGCGAATCATACCGAGGTCGTTGTTCTTGGTGATGGCTGCAGCAGCCCGGGACCGAGGCCCCTGCTGGGTGAAGTGGTAGCCGAACTTGACTATGCTGTTGTTCTGTTCCAACATCTTAGCTATCTCCATCTCCGCGGTGGTGCCCAGCTGCTGCCGCTGAGGAACACACAATCACAAGGAGGTTAACGGGGAACGACGGCAGGAAGAAGCTCCCACCGCACGGAAACAGTCCAGCTTCCTCCTTTCAGCTGGAAGCCGTACTATTAAAACACACATGGCTGTCAGGACAAATGACGGCTAGTTATTTGATCATCAACATACATTTTTGCCCCTTTATGAAACCACAGTGATCTAAAACAGGGGGTCCAAATTGCAGCCCGAGGGCCATTTGTGGCCCAATAAAAGATTTTGTGCGGCCCTTCACCTTAACGTTGGAATACAGCAAGCTAAACATGGGCGAAAAAAAGATATTCTAGCCCATAATCAACCCAAAAAATATGTCTGCCTTGTAACAACTCAGAGTTAAAGATCCTTTGTGTTTATTCGATCTACAATGATTCAAAGATCCTTCGTTTACAAAAATCTCTTTAGTTAATTTAAAGAGAACCTTGCACATTTAGTTTATTGTTGAGAAAGTACAATTAAAAAAAGAACAATAAATGTGTATGTAAACTTCAAGGGCTTTCATCTTGATCATTCTGGCCTTGGACATCACTGATCTAACATAATAAAGAAAGGACAAAGAAGAAGAAGGACTTTGTGTTGTTCTTCTACTTCATGACTAAAATGAAGTTAAACCTTTAACTCTATCATATTGCTACCATGCAGAAAAAAAATGGGAAACCATTTCCTTAACATCACCAGCTAAAATCCAGCTACTATTACCTACAAATCTATTTTTGGCTTCGAACTACGGTGGAAAATATCATTTAATATCTCAAAGTTGTACTTTTGCTCCCTACAGGCTGAGCTGTATGTGACTAGCAGAGCGAGTTTAATTTCTCGCTTTATGTTACTCACCTGGTTGTCTATCTTGATCTCGGTGAGTGTGTCATTATCTCGCAACGCCTCCACCAAAGACTGCACTCCTGTTCCAGTGATGAAATTGGACTCCAAGTTCAAACTCCGCAGCGTCTTGTTTTCCCGCAGCATGTCGCTGAATGCCTAGAAGACAGAAAGGGAAAGCAAAAGAAAAAAGAAAGAAAGAAAGGAAGAAAGAAAGAAAGAAAGGTGTTACGACGCAGTTATGTGTCAACAGAACCATTAAAAGCCCACAAACCGCTCCATCTCACCACAGCAACTGGGTCGCTACTCCGTGTCGCTGCCAGGCTGAACTTTGTGACGTGTGTGTTCTTCTCCATTGCTTTGGCAAAGTCTTTCAGCGTGGGAATGGGAATGTTCTGGGGAAAGAAGATCGTTGGTGTTGGAGGAGGCTGTACCCTACGCGGGTCAACTCTGCGTTTGGACTTGTGCGTACCTTAATGTTGTTAAGGTTGACCTCTTTTAAGGAGCCGTCGTTGTTTTTTACCCTCTGCAGCGTTTCTTCTACGTTGGTGGGGTTGGGAGGCTCATCGAACACCGGGTTCATCTTCTCTCCTTTCACCACGTCTGGAAGAGACACAATATTGACCTCGTTGCGGGTAATTACAAAGAGTGAGAAAAAAAAAAACTTCATTGTACTCACTGTTGTAGCCCTCTTTACTTCCAGTTCCATCGTATGTCTGATTACTGGTGACCAGTGTGTGCACACCCAGAATAGCTGTAAACCAAAGGAGGAAAATCTGTTCGATAACTGGTGAGAAATAACCGTGTAAGCAGAAATTCTGCAGTTCAGTGTGAAGGTAAGATGATCTAATCTGGAGAGCATTGCTTATGGGAGGTGCTATGCTGCTCAGTCAGCCCTTTTTTTTCTTTCATCCATCAGCACACGGCGTAAAAGACGATGCCAAGGGAAAGGCCGAGGGGGGAAAACGGCTTGTATTTTTCCATCCCAGGAAAGACTCGGATCGGACAGATGTTGGCTGGATGCGGCTACAAATGGATTTTCTTTTCGATGAGTCACACTGATGTGTGTTTAAGAGCTGCTGTTCCCCTGCAAGAGTATTTATATCCCTTTCCACACATAATACATCATCTGTAATAATTCAAAAGTGGAAGGAAAGTTGTACAATTTTTTGTTTTGCTCTCTGGAAAGTGGGGACGGATCTGTTGCAGGACGCCGGCTCTCGAAAACGCTTTCTGACGGCTTTCCATCAACAGCGGTTTTCCCCGTTCGACTCTTCCATGCAGGTCTGAGTTAATGAATGCAGAATATCAAGTCGTCCAGGAAACAGATTCTCCCACCTGAAAGTGCCACCATGAAACGTTTATTAAACGTCGTCATTCTTACCTGCTAAATCACACAATTCGGTGTCTGTGGCGCTGCAGAGAGCTTCTTCTAATTCTGGATCGAGGGTCGTGGCTTCTTCCTGGAACATTTCTTTTGGTTTCTGCTTGGGAACAAATACTTTACCTGTGGAGGAAGGACACACAAGTCAGATGGGAAACTTGCATGAGATTGTTATTCATTAGGAGCTTCTGATTAAGGTCGCTGGGTTAATTTCAGCTTCCCTCGCTACATGTCAAAGTATCAGTGGGAAATTCAAAAATAAATGTATGCTGAATCTTGCTAGCATGTTGAAGTTTCAACCCAATAGCTCATTGGAACTAAACATGAGTGAAATTACTGCATTTCATTTTCTTTCTGGGAATTTTTAGCATTATTTTAATGAGCTCTAAGTGATGCGTTCCTAGAAAGAATATTAATCGTGACGTCGGAAACGTCTCAAACTGAGCTATGAGCAGCCATGACTTTCTGACAGGATTTCCTTGGCAACCAATCTGAGGAAAGACGCCAACAGTCTGAAGGAAGTCATGCAACAAAAACTTGAGTCCAACATAAAGTGCACTGCTGAGGCAAAGAGCACTTACAGCTGGCAGATCAGCCATGCAGTGGGAGCTCTCTGCTGCCTCCGTACGCCCGTCCCCTTCCACACACAAACCCACCAACGACCGGTCCTCCCTCGTTCTCTTCCTTCCAACTCATTCAAGTCACTCAAATTGTTCAAAGTGCTGCCCAGTGGGGGCTCTGGCACTTCCTGTAAACCCAGTAAACACTAAATACAGTCATTAAGCAGCATTCAGAGCCAAGCCCTCAGTGGAGATATTTAACCCAGAGGAGGGGACAAATGACAGAGACCAAAGGACTGTCGAGTAAAGAATTTGTCTTCTGTGCGATTTTATGCAAACATTGAGCGAATGGGATAGTCACACTGGACCTTAGAGTAAAAACAGAACAACAGCAATGCCTGGACAGGACATGTGGTGTCAGAACAATTTGGCAACTAAAAAAACAGATTCCACCACAAACAATGCAACTCTTTCTGCTCAGCTGCTTCAGGCCAACCATGAAGAATCTGTCTATCTGACATGTAAAACAAATCACACACAAGCTACAATGTGAGGTTTTTACTTATTTGTTAGGTAACTATGTGGCGCAGCATTCGGAGCGTCACAAACACTAATGGTGTTCTTGGAAAATATTCCCAAAAAAGTGGACACAGAAACTGCATGATCATTTTCAAGCTTACTGGTATTTATTGATGCTGTCGGGGACAAATGATGCAGAAAATAGTCAAAAAAAAAACAAACTTTTTTTAATTTACCATCAGTAGCTGCGACAATACAATAAATGCCGACCCCTATCCAGTAGAAGTGTGTATTACTGCTGATCAGAAATAGTCTCACTCTGAAGACATTGTTGTTGTAGGACAGTCCCATGAACAGGAGCCTCAGTGTGTCCATCATGTCCTCCATTTTCAGAACGTCGTTCTTTGTGCATTCATCTCCAGATCTGACCCCGGTGACCTCCATCACCGGCTCAACTTATTTAACTCAGATCCCCAAAAGGTGATGACAAAGAAAATGTAATCATAATTGTAAAATGGGAGGTTGAAAGTCTATTATACTCTTATTTTGTCAGTGGACAGGATAGTAATCCATGTTACCAGCATAGAGAGTAAAACTGAATTTTATTCTGTCCAACATGCTGTTTCTTTTTACTCCTTTTAGCAGAACAAAGCAAAATACATGCCGTAATAACAACTCATTTCCAAAATGTTTATTGGATCTTCTGTGCTTTCAAAGATGTCCAACTTAAAAAAAAAAAAAAGCCAACTTAAGAGATTTTGAAGTTACCACAGATTCTCTGCTTCGGTGGCCACAACATAAGTTAATAAGGCCGACAAACCCTGAAGCAACTCTAGAGCAACTGAAAGGAAAGACAATAAGCACTGAAATTAAGCCATTAAAGATCTGCAGTGGTTTCTACGGTATTTGAGCAAAGCCGTCTTCCACTGACATTATTAACATCATTGGATTTGAGCCTCACACACTCAGAACCACATTAAATATCAGTAGGGGGCGAGTATAACAAGGGAGGACAGAATCCACAGAACCACCGGCCAACAGTGATCCAAGTTTTCCATGTTGTCATAGGAAGTTATTGAACACATGAGCAGGCAGAGAGAGAGAGTTTAATTTCCAACTCGCTGTGGGTAAATCCAGGAAAGACGTCAGTTCCATGTTTCCTCTGCTTTCTTATGAGATTTCAGATTTTCATCTGCTTCTTCTGCTATGTTTGTTACAAACATTGCATCCAAACTGTGGTTATGATTACCAGAACCGTGTAAGAATAGAGCAGACATGTCGATAAAAGACTAGGTTGTGTTTTTACAGCAGTCCATCTGGTTCTACAGGGATTTGTTTTGTAAGAGAAGCTTCCTTCCTGAGTGTATTCACTCTGATAAAACAGATTTCTGCTTGTTTGGAGAATCCTTTTTTAGTAATTGTTGGGAAAGGTTGCAAACCTGACAGCTTATGACATTAATGGAAACAAAATAAGAATAGTTGAATAGATATTGTGAAAACAACAAATGTTTCAAGTCTCATCTCAATTCAAATAAGGCTTAAGCGTAGATTTGCATAGCTGCTTCTGAGAAAGAATAGCGATCATCCAGACTGGTCAAAAAAAGCTGAGATTTTCAGATTACTGGAAAATAAAGCCTTTGTAAAATCCATCTTTGTTGGTCTGTAAATGCTACAACAATCAGCATTTTACTCAGTGATAACTTTCCCGTTCGAGCTCTTCACGCTCTATTGTAACAAGCCTGGGAAAGCGACGGGACGAGCCGCAGTGTGAAAACGATATTTGTATCAGTGCGAGATTATACATTATGTTAAGTGTCAGCTATAATTTCAGAAAAGCTTCTTAGCATTGCAGGTTTCTCACACAAACATGATACCAGGATGAGAACTTCAGTAGATGTGCCAACAAGGAGGAGGTTGTGATAACAGCTGCACACGCTGCAGGACTTGGGATAAATATGCAGCAGCTCTTTATGAACTTTAACATGTCAGTTATTAAAGAAATGAATCAAATATAGTCTAGGTAGCCTTTTGGGTTTGTATTTCTGCACACACTGATAGTGATGATGACTGCGATTCAATATCTTGAAATGCTGAAGCTAAATGAACAGCCGACGTTGCACTCCAAAGAGTTTAACTGTAGGCCAGTTAAATCTTTATCAAGACGAGAAAAACCAGATCTTTCACTTTTACTGTAGTTCATTTCTGACACGACATCGTGGAGATTTTTCAGCTGTCAATCTCTAACATCACACAAAGCACGCTAAATCGTATTAAACAAAATAAAAACGATTGGAGAGCAAAACAAAACTGCTAAAATGCTTTTAATCATTTTTTTCTGCCAAATTTGGATCAAACCATAACAAGGCAGAATCGTCAGAGTGGGGTTTAAGACACACGTCTACTGAGTGCTGGTAATAAAAACACATGGTCACGATGAAGCAGTAAACTGGTTTCTACCTCCCATTACGAAGCACCAACCTTCCTCCGCCACAGAGAAGCATTAGTAATCCCAGACACAAACAGGAATTACTGCTGTTTGTATTCCTCTGATACACCCTGAATCCTTTTCTCCAAAGGAATACAGTTATTAGCCCGTGATAACAATTAGCCAGTTCTTACTCATGTGGTTTTATTCAAAATAAGCCACAAAAACCTGCAAATCATCATGGCTGCTGGGTTTCTGTTGGGTAAACACTTCTGATTCAGTTCCAGAGAAAACACCGCAATATCACAGACTTAATGTCATATCCGCATAGGTCAAAATACCAACTTAACTTAGGTTTATTTTTGTTCTATAGCAAAACAAATCAAACAAGTATTTTAGAATTTAACCAAAATATGTAAGTGTAGACAGGTTGAAGGAAGAATAGTAGAGAAGAAGATTTGCTTCATTCCAACTTTTTAGTACGATCTCTTGTGTCACTTTTTAGTGAATTAAAAGCTTGCAAATTCAATCACTATATCCTACATGACAAATTAAAGCTGAGGGTTTGCAGGGCGGATTTTGGAAGATGTTAATGACTGGGTAACATGTCCTGGTGTTAGGATAACAATGCCACTGAGGTTTTGTATGCAGAAACCCTGTAAACAAAACATGGAGGATCAAAATTCCCAGAAACCCCGAGAGAAATAAGCTTTTAAAACTAACATTACCAAGTAAAAAAGAAAAACAAAAGCGCCTTAAGCTAAACAGTTCCATCATAAATATGCTACATCAATGACCCGGCTACAATGTTTGCTGATACGGTTTAACCAGCTTACCTTAATAAATGGGTCAAAGCCAGGGTTTGGATTCCGCAGCAGATTTTAGTTTGGTACACAACCAGTGAGGAAATTTTTATCTTTAAACTTTTGAAGAGCTCATACGTAAGAAAACTTGCAGAAATGAGTCAAGGTCAGAAATCCCCTCAAGCGAGTGGATCTGTGTCGGAGGGTTTTTGTCCACAAGGTGAACAAATCACTCTCTTTCTCTGAGAATCCTCCTTCTCTGCTGTCTCCGTTTCATTCTCCACCAGATTAGCCAAACAAAACAACTTTAGAAACAACATCCTAATCCTAGAAGGAACCCTGACACTCACCTTTTTTCTCCCCAGTGAAGGGAACGATGTCGTCTCTGTCCTTGTACTCCATGGCCTCCTTCTCCAGGTATTTGAGCAGCCGATCCCTGTCGAACGGCCCAGTGGCCGACTTATCGGTCTGATCTTTCTGCCGCATACTGGCTGGAAGAAGCGCATTCTGCAGAGGAAGGACAAGGAGCACTTTGAAGCCACATGCGATTCAACATGTTTTAACATTTCATTGTGTCCGGAGAAACACTTTATTAACGCAGCCAAGTGAGTATCATAAAAACGACAATATAGGCTAATACACACGTCATGTAGTACAAGTCACCTTCCTGTTGCCAACTTAGAGATACTGTTGCTATATTTAGCGACTTTTCAGTCAAAAAAAAAAAATTGTTATTAGCAAAAATCTGAATTGTCAGATGAGGCTTTTTAAAGTTCAGTGATTGGACAGAAAAATGCAATCAGTTCTCCCCCAGAAAAACAAACAAGGGGACTGATTGATTCATTGCAACATTTTCCCCCTCTCAGAAAATGTTACAAAAAACTTTAAAGAACTCCCCACTACAATAGTATAAGAAATAAATAAAATATACCCATTTGCTAAATAACTGCTTTTGTTGGAAACAAATAGAAAATGCTACCAAACACAGAGCAATGAGCAAATGTTAAAACATGGATTAAAAAGCAGCAAATGAAATACCAGCTCCCTACAACTACAATAAAAACGGATGTATAAACCAGTTTATCAGGAAGGATCCAGATGGTTTAGCTAAAGCAATGCAGAAGGAAAACCTGAATGGCTAAAAAAGGGAAACGTTCGTCAAGCCAGTTTGTCTCCAACAAAGTCCAACGCTTCCTTTGCAAGGCCGAGGAGTTTAGTCTTTCTCTTGACATGCAGCACAGAAGGAGCTGTGCTGCATGTCTCTACTGTTGCTAAGTGCTTCCTGTTGGTCTTGTGAGGTTATTTGTCCCACATCACATAACAGGACTTTAAATAAAGCCTCCACCCATTGTGGAGGCAATTTATGATTTTCTACAGTTTATAAGATAACACATGCAACATGACTGAGGGAGGCTGCTGCAGATTTAGCTCATTTTCCGGTTATAGCGGCTTCAGAGTGAGAGGTGTACAAAGAAAAGACTGGAGTTCAAAGCATTCCAGGAGAAACAACAGGAAAACGGTAATTTGAAGAGGGATTTCCTTCTAATTAAAACGTCTTAACCGTGTCGCACTCAAACCAGTTCAATTAGAAGGTTTTTTTTATCTGACATTTTAGTCAAATCTCCACCACAGAAACCCCTCCCGTCCCCGATGAGGAGCCAAGGAGCTCCTCCAGCCCTCGCCGGGCCCTGACCTCAGGATCCACCTCCTCCAGAACCGTTTCCAGCTGCTTCAGCTCCTCCTCCGACAGCTTGTTCAGGATCTCATCTTCGTCGATATCCTTGTACTTGTCGAGGTCCTTCTTGAACGACAGCGCCATGGTGGCTATAGCTTGCTAGGCGACAGTGAACGGCAAACAAACCGCGGCAGCCACTCTGGTCCTGCTCAGTGTTTCTGCTCCAGGTCACGGAGGAAGGGGGCAGTCTGTGGGAGAAAAACGAACAAATTATTTTTGTTTTCACGTCAGGTAGCGTAGAATAAAAAATTTAAAAAAATGCGAGGAGCTGCACATTCCCAGCCGAGATAAACAACGTGAACCCGTGGTTGTGAAACAATAGTGGGACACAGCTGTGCTGGAAAGCAGCCTTGTCCTTCCAGCGATGCAACACGCAGCTGGAACAAAAGACGAACTTTCTCAGGCTCTGACAAATCATCCGATTATTCCCATAAGGGTCAGAAAGAAAAAGAAAAAAACTCTGGAAATCATATGGAAAACATGATCAACTTCAGAAAACAAACAGAAGCTTTTAGTGGTTTTTGCAAATCCAGACAGATCCATTTGTTTTGGGACTAAGTGATTAAACATAACAATAGTTGAGGTTAAATAATCTCTAGACAAGAGAAGGAGCTGGAGTCTGGATAGGTTTACCTCAGTCAGAGGATTCAGCCTGCAGCTCGCTCTCCCATGCCACACTTGAAATCTTATAATGACCTCATCATTTCCAGATCACCAGCAGGACTTCCCCGAAGGTCCTCCTGCCCATCACGCAAGGACGTGTGTGTTTATACGCAGGCTCACACATGCAGCGTTCTGAAAAGCTTGTGTTTAACACCTGTTGTATTTCAAGGTGATATTTATGTTTTTATGGCAGGTGAGTTTAGCTGGGAATCCTGAATGCTCCCAGACTACAGGGGAGTTTGATTTATCTCAAATCAACAAACTAAAAACAAATAAAAAAATTCAACTCAGTGCTTCGCCGCTGCAAAGATTCTTTCAACATGTGGTGGCAGCTCCCCGGAGGTTCCCTGACTGATTTTTATTTATTTATTTTGTCCAGAGAGCTACATAAAAAGTTTTTTTAGTCTCCCAGACTCCTTGCATCTACTCCTGCATCTAATTATTCATGAAATGGTGAAAATTTTCACAAGGAATTTAAAAAACTGACTTACAGCAGGCCAAGCTGAACCAAAATGTTACTAATAACTATAATCAAAAGCAAATAAATCTAATAATCTGCTGCTTTAATCTCTCCCAAATGTCCTGCTGGGACCGCCTATGTAAAACAGATCCAGTTCAATTGACTTCAATCTGAATGTGGGTTTTCATTCTTTGGCCTCGTGGTTTGGACAGGAAACCAACCCAAACAAACTTTAAATTATTAAATATAACTCACACATGGTTGACACAAAGAAACAACCAGAATATAACACAATAATATTATACTATACTATACTACTACATAATAACAACCAAGCCTGTCGCAGTTAATCACATAATGAATTAAAAGGAGCAAGATAATTTCCATTCTGATGATTAACATGTTTTGAAGGGCAATTTTACTCACAGAGACATCACAATCCATTTTATTTCTGGTTTTGGTTGTGCGTGTTTATTTATTGTTTAAGGTCTTCCTGTTGCAGTGCTTAGTGTTCTCTACAAAACTAAATTTATTGGACTTTGAGAGGGTGAGCCTGCATTACTATTAAGATATAACTTGAAAATAGTCTCATAATAACAATATTATCATTTATCACAATAACTGATGAAACTATTTATCGTCCAGCAAAATCTGTTATTGTGACAGGCCTGATAATACAGAGTAATTACATTATAGATCGAAATACGGACAGCTGATCAAATCTACCATAAAATCTCGCAAGTGTTTATTCAGTATTTTTTTTATATTTTAACAAAAGCAATTTATCGTGCTGTATATTTTTTGCTTATGTTTTGTGAAATACTGCGACTCTGTGCTAGTATACCTTCAGAAACTCGCTAACTGCGCCTTCCTAGTGTTGCATCATAATCAAACTATCTGCTTCAATCCTTTTGTCTAAAAAAAGTCCCATGAATCCAAATAAGATGCAAATCAATCTAAATCATCCAGTAAATACATCAGCAGTCATTTGTGCTGTTCTCAGACATCAGTGGTATGATTTGTTTCCTCGTGAAATCACAAAACCCTCCAGATTGTTTCGGTAAAGAAACGAGCTGGCACACCGTGACACGAGAACCCGGAAAAAGACCACCAGCGTTTAAGGCTCCTGCACCGAGACCAAGTCTGAATAACGCTACCCAACTTTCCCTTATGTTCATCATGCATCATTCATGCCGCTCCACAGGCATTGTGCTGTAGGTGAGGCCCGGTGGTTTCAAGTGTGCAGACAGAGCAGTAATGGAGCATGCATACGGGGATAATGATGGCAGAGGATGGGCTCAAGCTGAGGTGGAGACACTGAGAGAATACATTAGTCCAACCTGATTGATTCCTTTCTCCCTCTCCTCTCCGCTAATCCTCCAGGACAACAACAGATGGCAGGACGCCAGCAATACAGCAAACTCGTGAGCCCGACGCTCACCTTCACCTTTCCTTCGCCGACTTGTGGACTCAGCTGACCGGAAACCTGACAACTTCATGTCGTTTTCAAAGGCTACGTGTTTTCCAGGTTCAGACCGCATTAATCACAGTAATCTCGAGGTCAAAGCACGTGACCCCTGTTAGTGAAAACAACAAATTCACCACTGTTATCTGTAAAATTCTCTCAACAAATATCCAGATTATCTCCACACTGCATTCCTCAGTGAGTGAAGCTGGAGGAAGAATAATTTGTAAGCTCAATGGTGAGACAGGAAGTGGTGAGTAGAATTAAATTATAATGGAACAACGCCCCAACCATGCAGAAATGGACTATAGTTAGAATAACCCAGCTATAATGCCCATGGGACTCAGCACTGAACTTCCTCCTCTAGTTTTACTCTCCCCTCTCTTTCTCTCTCTCTCTCCCCCCTGTTGTTACTCTCCTTGCCGGTTTCTATGTTCGGTCTCCAGAGGTGAACAGCAGTGGGAGAGAAATGATAGAAAACAGATGGACTGAGATAGTAACAAGAAGGCAAATATTAAAAAAAAACTCCACTTTTATGCAAGAGACTAACACAAACATACATGTCTCTTCAGAGTTTGAATAAACTTAACAATTTCCAGACAGGAAGTGGAGTGTTTTTCCAACAAACGCGCACGATTTGTATATTTCCCAGCAGTCCAAATCCACCATATGATATTATATACACAAGGACTCATCCTGTGCTTCTTCACATGAAGCTGATGCAAATGCCTGGGTTCAAACAGTGCAGCTTGATAAATTTATATATTTGCTCAAAAACTCCTGCTCCAGTTCACTTTTCTGGCCGAATGCCAGCCTACACTCCCCACTGAAAAGGTATGAGGAAAAAAAACAAAGGCCATTTGTTCATATGCGGCTGATAACGTGGTGCAAAAAAAAGAAGAAGAAATCTAAAGCTGGCAATGGACAAAACCCCTTTTCTACCTGATATCAGAATACCTGTCTCACAGCATACGTAAAGGCCACTAGGCTGTAAAGAAAAACTTCACTTCTCCAAGATTTGGGCCACACCCTTCATTCACCACTCAGTCTGCAGATTACACTGCCTTTTGTGAGCAACACACAGGCTCGTTTTATCTCTTGAACGGGGAAGTGAGTTAAAAAACTTGCTTACAAAAAGGTACAATAGCATCTGCAACAATCAGTGAAACTGATAAAACCACGTTTCTCAAAATATCCACCCTGGTGAATGCACCTTAGGAACCATGAAACGCCCGTCTTAGTCCCCCGGACAAGCACAGAGTGGACACAACATGCCCCGTCTCGCACTTGCATTGTCTGACTATGTAACAGAATTGGCCACGAATAATAATGAAATCAAATCAGACACACTTTACTTTAAGATTTTAAAATCCAGTTCTCTCATAAATCCCAAGATGACCAAAGGTTGCTTATCTCCGACAATAAAAATCACATCAGAAAACGCTACTAATCGCATACGTACTTCTAGGAATGTTACTTTGGAGACACCTCAGCTGTCATCATCATAAAGTATCTATCGGAAGGCGTTAGCTAACGCCTCCTGACATGTTTATGACTTACAACTGGCAATAAATGTGTTGGTAGCAATTATCAACACCAGGCGAAACCTTCCACTCCTTAGTTATGTAAAAGTTAAAACTAAACGAAGCCATTCATGGGACACTTTCGTTGGTAACTAGGCTACATTTGTCGGATGCAGAACACCGTGAATGAGATGTAGAAGCTAACACGCTAGCGCTTGAAGATGACTCAAGTCGCTAGCCGCTGAGCTAAACCCAACAGCGGTAATACTCTACAGCTGGCTTCAAAACTAGATTCACATAGTTATTCCAGTCGGCGCAGAGAAACCGCTTTCCTCACCTGAGTTGAAAGACAAGTAGCTGGGTAAAACTCCAAAGAGCACCAGACTCTGAAGAGACTGTGGCGGTGGATACTCCTGTGTGTTTGAGGTTTGTGACTCGGTCCAACCAAGGGCGGTAACACAGGAAGAGGGAAGAGAAGGGACCCGTGATTGACGTCGAAAGGAACCAATAGAAAGACAGAATGTCCCACGTAAACCAATGGCGTAACTTGTCCCGCCCTCACATAAAATAAAATAAAATAAAGTAAAATAAAGTAAAATAATGTAAAAATAAAAATAAAATAAGATAAAATAAAATTTAAACAGGCATATAGTCGTTTATTTATATATGGTGTATATAAAAGATACACAAATATGTATATATTTCTGACATTTAATCATTTATTTGCAATTTTTTTTTCAAATATATAAATATTTAGATTTCTTTTGACTACTTTGTGAATATTTAAAATGTTTTACATGAATATGAAACTAAGGTATTTGTCTTAATATCAATAGGATACTGACTTGGCATCTGTGTTTTGGATATATGCATCATTACAGTTTTCTAGCCAATCACCAATTACCGATCTTTAAAAAACCTGTTATTTTGTACCAGTTAATTTGTCTGAAATCTTGCCAAATATTGCAAGAAAGTAGCTAAGTTGGTAACAATGATAGACTTGTTAACTGCAAATGTGCAAACAGGACCAGGTGGACCAGTCTATCAGTCAAACTTCTGATATGAGAGAGAAGAAGAGGACAGTGTTTGATTTTTAGACTTTTGCTGAGGTAGATAAGATTGGTGGATAAGATCAGTTTCACATGTAAGTATCGGCACATCACCCATCTAAAAAAAAAGAAAGACAATCGGCTGATATATCAACTGGTCAATAAATCGTCTGGTTGATAAATCAGTGCACCCCAGACATATAAATATAAATATACACCTCCAAATCATAGCATTATATTAGTCCTCATTTGCGAAGTGTTGAATGAACATATTTTCCTGTATTCCATTATACAGATGTGTACGTTCTGTTTGTGTATAGCTGACTTAAATTCATATATTACATTTATACACTGTGGAGTTGAGCCACATATATATCTCCATCTTGAAATCTTAGTTTATTATTTACTTATTTATTACTACTATTTTATTTGTTCTCAAAAGAACTGGATAATAGGAGAACCTATAACTAGAGAAACGCCGTCAATATCATCTGAACAAGTTGAATCTTTCGCGGACAAAAGTCCTGATTTTGTGTCCAATACCGCCACCTACCGTCTGACATACCTTACTACAACAGCATGGTTGTGACCCAGAAGTAAAACACTTCCTGCTGCTCGGTGATCACTTCCTGAAGATCTGCGCTTCCAACAGTTTGGAAGAAATGGCGGAGCGGGGTGAATTATTCGGCAGTGATGGAGACAGCGACAACGATCAAAGAGGTACTGAAATCTCCCAGCTGCAAACTGTTCGGTGTTGGTTGTACAGTTGTCTCTTTAGGAAATGTAAATATTTTTTGCAACGTGACTCTCAGAATGTGAGCGTGATGATTGACCTGTAAAAGTGGAAGCTAAACGCGGCTCTCCGTGCATGAGACGTTAATCAAAATGATTTATTTTTGTCTGTTTTTTACGGAGCCCGTCTGAAGACATCGGAGAGGAAAATAAATAATAAATAAAAAACTTTAACACTTAAACTTAAACAAGTCGTGGCCATGATTTCTATTTTTTTTTTTTTCTTCGATGTCCCCAGACGGGCTCCGTAGTTTATTCCATTAAACATCTGAGATCAAAATATTTTAACTTACCAAAACATTAATTTACAGCGCTGATTTCTTATTAGTTTTGTGAAACACAGCGTTCAATCTCCAAACACTAATCAGAGCTAAGTTTATGCAAGCATTCAACATGAATATCATCTGTTTTGGTTGGATCAAAGACACGAGAAGCCAAGGTATGATTGTAGTTTTCTATATTTAACTCATAAATAAACGAAACAATTACAACAAAAGCTCTCTTCAGTCTTTTGGCTGTCAACCAACAGCATGTATTTTATCTTAAGACCATGTAAATAAAGGTGCATTCTTTAATATGGTATCCCAAGATTATTGAGATGATCTTGGTATTGCTTCTTTTCATAACTATGAACTTTAACAAAGAATATTCAGCATTTTTTTTCTCTCACGCCTACTAATCAGGACAAAACCTGAAGCCCACATTTGTCATGAAAAGCCTGATTAGTGCATCTCTTGTGCCACGCTTCAATAATAAAAAATTGGTTTCTTTTACGGCTTGGCAGAGTCCAACTCCGGCTCTGGATCAGACTCGGAGCAGGAGAGACCTCAATCTGCCAGCAACGCCTCCGGCAGCGACAGTGAGAGGGAGCGGGATGATGATGACGATGATGAAGGGCAGGAGGCAGGGAAGCCGAGCATGAACAAGGTTGGCACCTTTCTGTGCAGTTGTAAAATTCCACTTTTCCAAAGTTTCCATCTCGGTTTTATGCTGTGACAAATAAATTTTTTTCGTTGTTGTTTCACACTTATCAGTTGCAAAGGAATTTACCCGCATATCGCTTTATTGGATAAAAAGCTGCCTTTTAAAAAAAAACCATGAATGCAGGTAGCGTTAATTTGCATCAAAAGTGAAGCATAGCCCGGCCTCCCCTTCCTGCCTCACAGGAGCTGTTCGGCGATGACAGCGAGGACGAGCAGCGCAGTGGCAGCGATAACCAGTCGGAACGCTCTGGGAACCAGTCGGACGCCAGCATCCACTCCGACCAGGGGGAGAACGATCACTCGGACGCGGAGCAGCACAGTGGGTCGGAGCACGACCAGCGGGAGGAGGACGAGGACGATGAAGATGCAGGGAACCGGTCAGACGGAGGGAGCCCGGCGAGCAGCGGGATGTCCGGTGGCGGGAGCCCTCGTTCTGAGAGGGGCAGCGTTCGTTCAGACAGAAGGTATGGGATGCAACGAGTTTTGCTGGACGATAAATTGTCCCTGAAGTTATTGCGATAAACGATAATATTGTTGTTTTGAGATCATTTTCAAGTAATNATGTAAAAATAATGGTAATGGCATAATAATAATTCAGCTCATTCTCAAAGATCAATAAGCTTTAAATCCTAATGAACATTTAACACTGGGACTGTAAGACATTTTAAATGTGGGGAAATGAATAAACAAAACTAGAGAAATAACAAATAAAATGAACAAAATTGTCTTTTGTCAGGACGTATTTTCTGTTGGATTAAAAAAACATTAAGAAAATAGGAATTGACTTTAAAAAAAAATATGAATTGGTATCAGCCAGCAAAAAAAAAAAAAAAAAAAAAAAATCTGGTTGGAAAATTTTGTGAAAAACAAGGGAATTCTGATTTTTTGTTGCCATGTGGATGGTGGCTGCTGGGACCAGACAAGTCATCTGAAAAAAATGAGAACAGTTTGTCTGTGAATAATAATGTGAGGCTCTGCATTATGAAAGTGACACAAAACATTGCATCCATCCAGGTGTGACTGAGAAGGAAGAAATGGAAAGTCCTTGGCCTAGTCAAAGCCCAGATTGAAACTTTACTGCGGCTTGAAACAGGCTTTATTGTTCAAGCATTTCAGAGCTGGAAGTGAGGATGATGCCTTTACAGGGCAGGGTGTCCTAACTTTTCCTCATTTAGGAAACACATTTTTTATGTCTAATTAATATAATAATTAAAAGATTTTTCTCAGGGATACAAAAAAAAAGAGTTGAAATATGTGAAAATTTATCTCATTATTTGTGCTAACTTTTTTTTTTTTACATAACTGTATAGCTTGAAGGGAATTACAAACAAAACTCGTTGTTAACGTGACCTCATTTCTCCATTTTGGGAATGTTTGTTGTTAAGCCGTCAGTCTCATTTCCCTGACTGCCTTCGTTGTGTCTCGGGACCAGCATGCACAGCGATCCCGGGACTCCGCAGTCGGGGCTGGGCACCCCTCACTCCGACGGGGGCGCTTCTGGCCAGGAGAACCAGTCTGACGACGAGAAGTGGGGAGGCGGCGCCAAGAGCGACCAGTCCGAGGACGAGGAGGAGAAGCGCCACTACTCCGACGAGGACAGGGAGAACTCTGACGACGACGGGCCGAGGACCAGGAAGCCAGGTACCGTCCCGTGGTTCTGAAGATGAGAGGGCCGACGCACGTGAAGAGGATCGCGAGGCGATGGGGCGCTAATCTTTACTGTTAAATGTGATCGTTTCATCTTGTGGTTAATACGAGACGAAGTTCTTGGCTTGACCTTTCGTGCGCGATCACAAGCCTTCCTTCAGGGAAAACATGTGCTCGTGTGGAAGTTGCTTTGTTTTTCCTTCACATGCCCTGGATCTCATTCGTTGCAGAGTCTGCAAAGGGCAGCGACAGCGAAGATGACTTCATCAGACAGAAAACCAAACCCAAAGCCGCGTCGGACTCAGATTCAGACAGCGACGGCGACACAAAGAAGCGTAGGAAATGTTCCTCCTCTCCATGAGAAGTGACATTTTGTTGCTTCCTATTTTTTTCTTTTTTTTTTTTTCAATGTGGTTTATTCTACCTTCTGATCTGCAGCAACGAAAGCAGCTGCGGACGATCTGTTTGGAGAAGCTGACGACATTTCTTCGGACAGCGACGCAGAGAAGCCGCCGACCCCGGGGCAGCCTCTGGTATCCATCCGTTCTCATTTGGTTATTTAATTTTTCTTCTTCATTTAGTCGTAGAAGCTTCACTCTGCATTGAATCCTACTCTGTGTGTGTGTGTGTGTGTGTGTTTGTGTGTGTGTTTGCCTCTGCAAAGGATGGAGAGGACGGCATGGAGGGGGAGCAGGCGGAGGAGGAGCCTGCGCCTGAAACGCGCATAGAAGTGGAGATCCCCAAAGTGAGCACAGACCTGGGGTCAGACCTTTATTTTGTCAAGCTTCCCAACTTCCTGTCAGTGGAGCCCAGGTCAGAATCCCCGAAATGTAGAAGTGAACACTGGAGATGGTCAAGCATGTTTAAAAAAAAAAAAGAGATTTATTTGGAGTTTTTCCCTTTTGCAGACCCTTTGATCCTCAGTACTACGAGGATGAGTTTGAGGATGAAGAAATGCTGGATGAGGAAGGACGTACCAGACTCAAACTTAAGGCACGTCTCTGCTGAATCAAAATAGAACTGACACTTTTGTTATAGTAGCTGAATGTTTGCTCATTTATGCTCCTTTTATCCCACCGCAGGTGGAAAACACGATCAGGTGGAGAGTGAAACGAGACGAGGAGGGCAACGAAACGCGAGAGAGCAACGCGCGTATTGTCAAGTGGTCTGACGGCAGGTGTGTGTGTGTGTGTGTGTGTGTGTGTGCGCGTGCGCTAATGTGTTACAGCCAGCTTAAAGCTGCAGTATGTCGCTTAAATTTTTTATTTTTATTTTACATATTTATTGAAACTGTCGCCATGTCAAAACAGTATGGTATGAAACTGGTTGTGTGTGGGAAAAATTGAGCTTCTCTGCCTTCTCCCAATGCTAACTATAAACAACAAATCAGAAACAACAAATCTCAGTGCCGTCAATCACCCTCATGTGTGCGCTGCTCATTCTTTGCTCTCTGCTACGCTGCACTTTCTTCCTGATTGCAGAGTCTGCCACGACCGCTCAGGCTAGTCAGGATGATGGCAGATTAACGGTTTACGGAGTTGTTTCTCTTCCACTAGAACATTGAGTAGCGAATACACAAGGTTGATTGACAGCGCTCAGGCATTCCTCCTCCTCCCGGGAGCGGTGCATTTCCTTAGACAGCAATAGTAGCGCTTGGAGGAGGTATATTAGCATGTTTTATTTTTTCCACAGACTGTCTATCTAATATTAAACTGTGACATAGGGACATGTCAAGTATGTAAAAAAACCCACATTTTTAATAGAAGTTACATCCTGCAGCTTTACCGGTGTGGTGTTATTTGTGTTTGACATGTTTTTTTTTAAGCGTCCCGTTCTCACCGCAGCATGTCCCTCCACCTGGGCAACGAGGTGTTTGACGTGTACAAAGCTCCTCTCCAGGGAGACCACAACCACCTGTTCATCCGACAGGGAACGGGACTGCAGGGACAGGCTGTGTTCAAAACCAAACTCACCTTCAGGTAGCGCGCAACCGTTGCACTCAGGACTGAAATCTCTCACTCTCTGTTTGTTTGAGCAGCACAGAATGAGTAGCTAGAAATAACCCGACTGCGTCTTGCGCTCTGACAGCAGAACAAGCAGTAAACAAGCGTCAGTCTGCCAAAAAAACAAAACAAAACAACAACAACAACCAGGGATCATTCAGAAATGTACTCTATGCTGTAATTCTCTGGATCACCTTGTACAAGCTGGCCAGGTTTCTCTCAATAAGAGCCATTTAAGCCTCTTACTCCCCCCGTCAAGCCCACCTGAATGTTCTGTCTTCTCAGAACTCACGAGTCCGGTCAGCCGTCGTCCAGACCTGGTTTCAGTGTGAACTCCACCCAGCCGGCTCCCGCACCGAACATTACAATATGTCTTGGTGGATTATTGGGAAGATTAGAGTCAAAGCTGTTCCCAGAGTACAAACTGTTTGGAGTAATGGTCTCTCTCATTTAGAAGGTGTTTTAATTTACAACGTTTGTTCCTTCAATATGAAGAAAACGATGTTTAGGTTATCTTTGAGCTGACTCGATTGAAGTAAGCTGGCAAGCTACATGATATGTTCCCATAACTTTCCAAGAATCAGAGTTTTCAAGGTACCAGACATCGAAGGTTACTTCCTGGGTCTTAGAGACTGCTTTCCATTTACTGATGGGACACCCTCTCGGAGCTTTTGTGGCACTTTTCAAAAACGTAGAGGTTATGCACTGAAACTTAGAGATTAGTTTTCTAAAAACTTACCAGGCAATCATTGCTCTGTGACTGTTCTCTCGGAAATTTATAAGCCTGATATCCACAACTCTTTTTTTTTTTTTTTTTTATCAGAAAAGAAAGACTGTTTTGGAGGAGAGTTGAGGGAAGTTTTAGGAACAAACATGTTAAGAGTATCTTCTCCTGAAGGACTGATCATCTTAGGAGTTAAGTTCAAGAGCTTAAAGACAAACTCAACATTATTAGTACCTCTGGCTTATTTAACTTTAAAGTAACCTTTAAATTTTACCAGCATGTTTGACTCTGGCTGGGCTCCTCCAACTTCAGTTTGATTTAGACTATGTGGAGAGAAATGGAGATTAGGGTGATGGCAAGGAGGCCTGACAACCTCACACACTTGGGCGTCATTGTTGAAAATAAATAGTCAAAATATCAGTGGAGAAGAAGAAGACTTTGTTTGCTGTAATGCCAATTGAACTCTGACTGTTACATTGTTTTGTAATGTAATTACAAAACGATGGTCTTTATTTCAACCCTGTGGTTGAAATAAAGACTCTAAATCTGCCAGAGGGGATGAATACTTTTGTTGCTTAGCTTTACATTTTACTCTCAAAAACTTTCTTGGATACTTTTCCGTCAGGGACACGTAACTTCTTGAAACTTTGGGGTTCGTGCTCTGCGCTTAGAAAATGCCTTTCCAGATCTAAAGGCTCAAGGAGCCTCAAAATTTCCATTCCTCCTAGGACTTTTAAGGGACTTTTCAGGAATTTTCCTGGAACACCGAGGGCTAATTTAGGGAATTCAGCCCATATGATGAGGTGCATCGTAACCTGACACACTCCGGACATTACAGATTACTTTACAGAAGATGGTACCAGGTTCTTGGAAGCCTGGCGATTAAAGGTTTCCAAAAAGTACAAAAGGTGTGCTACATCTTTGATAATACAAATTTGAACTGGGTTGTTATGGTGGTGAACAAAGATCCAAAATGTAACATCTGAAAGTTTCCTTTAGATTTTGCTTTATTTATTTATTTATTTTGTTTCTTTGGTGTTGTTAAAGTTATTCCAGTTTAGAAAATAACATCAATACCCACATTTAGTAATTTACCATTTATTGTGTTTTTCTTGTGCGTCTCCAGACCTCACTCCACAGACAGCGCCACCCACAGGAAGATGACGCTGTCTCTGGCCGACCGCTGCTCAAAGACGCAGAAGATCAGAATCCTCCCCATGGCTGGAAGGGATCCTGAGTCACAGCGCAACGAAATGATCAAAGTAATGTTCGCTTGGCATCCTGTCCATCCATGCTTTCTTTTTTTTTTTTGCGTTGACCTTTCTTTGTGGAATCCTTTTGTCTCAGCTGAGGCTGAAGGGGTTTGCATAAGGCCGGCTGCTGATAAGCATCGTACCGGGTTACATAAAGGCACAACCTGCCGCACTTGCGTAACGAGGCCAAGCAGCTGTCGGCGAAATTTAAACCGTGTCAGCATCAACACCGAGGCTGGACGGGGATCCGGGGTCAACCCAAACAAGCCCGACCGATGGCATCGCCTAAAGTTTTATTGTCTGTGGGCATCGGCTGATGAGGAGGAGCCTCGGTGGGTGAATCTTCAGTCGGCATGTCGGAGAGTGCTCCTGACAGTTACCGTAACATGTGGCTTATCGCCTGTCGTTTCTCGGTAAACAGCGTTATTACCATGAGACGGAGTCAGCAAAGCAGCTTTTGTTCAGAGGAACAGCTTATTCAAGCGAAGGAAGCCTGAGAACAAGATTTGGTTCACAAGAATTTCTTTTTTCCAAGCCAAAGCCGACCGGACTGGCAGGAGGGCGAGAACCCCGCTTCACTAAACCCAGTGACGTCTTAAAGGGATGCTTTTAGATTTATAAAGGGATTGTGGGATTGTGTTGAGCTGATGTCTCTGAGCGTATCGTTTTGTCATGTTTTCTTTTTTTTTAAGCAACATCTAGATGCTTCAACTTATCTCCAGCAGCAGTAGCTTAAATGTCGGATTTCTAGAGAAAGGAGGACATAAATGAAATTGGAAAAGTTTAACTACAGGTCAGCATTTCCCTCCAGTAAAATCTTAACTGTATTAAAACCATTAATGAAGAGGGAAAATGTTGAGAAAACGTGTTTTGCTTTATTTTACAGATCCTTTCTGCTTTCATTCTCTTGATTCTTAAATACCTTCTATTGAGTTTTATTATACTATAGGGAATGATAAAGGCCTGTCACTAGCTCATTGCAAATACTCTTGAAATATTTTACTTGGACATGAAAGTAATCCGGAAACTGACAGAAAAATCAGAAAAATTGAGCTAAACTGTGGAATTTAGACGTGATGAGGTGAGGTGGAGCTTGTCATTTTTGAAGCCGTCCTCTGATTTTGGTAAGCATTCCTCTGTATGAAGGCAGAAATGTCTGACATTGCCCAAACATAAACACAGGACTTCTTGTAAATAATTTTATCTAGAAAAAAAAAAAAAACTTTAACGTGAACATTTATTGTCTAATTTGAGAATTAAAAGTAGTAAAAACAAGTCTTTAAAAAAAAAGTAAAAATAAAGTAAAGCTTTTGCAACTGGAGTCACATCTGTCATTTCAGATGTCGAGGCCTTAACCTGCTGTTCAGATCGTTCCTTTTCGTTCCTTTGTTTGTTGGTGATGAAATCTTCTAACTACGTCCGATGTCCGTCTCGGCAGAAAGAGGAGGAGCGTCTGCGGGCGTCGATCCGCAGAGAGTCCCAGCAGAGGAGGATGAGGGAGAAGCAGCACCAGAGGGGCCTGAGCAGCAGCTACCTGGAGCCCGACCGCTACGACGATGAGGAGGAGGGCGAGGAGGCCATCAGCCTGGCGGCCATCAAGAGCAAATACAAGGGAGGAGGAGGCCTGAGAGGTAGCCGCACTCGTTTTTTTTTTTTTTTTTTTTTTTCTGTTCATTGTTTCTCGCCGATATTCGTTCTTCACAATTCCCCCGTCTGCATTCCAGAGGAAAGAGCGAGGATCTACTCATCGGACAGCGACGAAGGCTCCGACGATGACAAAGCCCAAAGGCTGATGAAGGCCAAGAAGCTGGACAGTGACGAGGTAAGGCGCAGCGCCCCGGTGGAACAGGCAGGGGGCAGTGTGAGGCAGCACACTGTGGACGGTGAAACCTTTTCCACTTATCCTGATGTGAACTGAACCGGACAGGAAGTCCTGACTGTTCCGAAGTGCGTGCGTGTTTGTTTACATCCCACAGCGCTGTTTTTCCTCAAATCAAGAGAAGACGATGTCAGAAAACGCACACAGCTTGGCGTGACAAACAGAAATCGCCTGGAAGCCAGACTGAACGTCTTCTGCCGTCAGCTCTGTAATCCCTTCTTATCCTTTTGTTGTTCTCAGGAGGGCGAAGGATCAGGCAAGAGGAAGGCAGAAGACGAGGAAGAAACGACCACTAAAAAGGCTAAGAAGTATGTCATCAGTGACGAAGAGGAGGATGAAGAGGACGACGAATAGCTTTTTCTTTTCTTTTTTATTTTAATTAAATTTTTTTTATTTTTATTTTTTTACCTTTTCCGCTCTATCATCAGTGGTCAGTCCACCTGGCGTATAAATAGCCATGTTTTGTATATTTTCTTATGATCTGTGTGTGTGTGTGTGTGTGTGTGTGTGTGTGTGTGTGTGTGTGTGTGTGTGTGTGTGTGTGCGTGTTTTAGTTTGTTGTTTATTTTCTGTACAGCAGAGAGGTGAGAAATAAACGGTCGTCTTATGTAACCGAAGCTTCCCCGGGAAGCCTCCGCTTGTTTTTATTTTTGCATTATGAATCATGCATGAATCACACGGTTGTTGTGAGATTATAAAACATAATGTTTAGTTCGGCTTCCAGACAACAAACAAAACCTTCATTAGACGGCCGCCGGCGGCTCGACGAGGAGCCGATCGAATGAACCCAGAAGCTGCGACTGCTAATTTAGTTTTAGTCAAATGCTCTGCAGGTTTTGTGCTGGAAGTACTTGCGGTTTTTCAGCAAACGAAACGGACCCTTGAGCAAAGGGACTCGACAATGTAGTTTCACAAGAAACGACGAAGCTTGAAGGGCATTTTTGGATTTGAGATGTGGAGATGAGTGAGAGTGAAGCGCTGGAGGAGAAAATACATTTTGTCCCACTGTTTGCTACTAAATCACCCTTCCTAGTATTTGTTTTCTTACAAATAAAACCATTAAGAATGCAATTTACCTTAAACAATCCAGTTGAGCATTAAATGTTATTATCCAGGGCCTTGATTCTGCTTCAGTTCATTCATTTTGAATGATGCCATGCCAGCAGAGATGCACACGCAGCTCATAGAAAATCAACTTGGTTTATTTAAACCACCGATTCACAACAAAAGGTTTCTCAAAACAGTTCACCAAAAATGTGAGAAGATTGAGAACGAGCGGACCGGCTGAGAGCAGAGAGAAGGCCGCCGCAGAAACACTGAACCGTGTGAGGCAAAAAGCTCACATGCTGCAGTTATCATCACAGCAACGATTGCTGCGATGATAACTACAGCAATCGTTGCAAAATATACGAAGAATGTATAACATGAAGACAACAGATAAGCAAAAGTGGTCAGTGTGACCAGCAGCCTTAAAATGTATCAGCAGGATAACCCGTGTCGCCTGAACTATGACCTTTATCAAGTTTTGATCATGTGACTCCATCTTCCCCAGGGAAGACACAATTTCCCTTACTTGTTATGCGAACCACATTTGGACTCTTAGTTCAAAATAATAGAGTGAGATGCTGCCTGATTCTGCGCAAACCACCATATTATTCACAGTAAATCATGATGGGTACTTTCCTTTTCTATCTAAGCTTCGAAAAAGGATCAGAACTTTTGTGAAAACAGGACCTGAGTGAAAATGTTAGGAGAACCTGCCTCGCCCCGCCAACACGAATAAAATTGAACAAAGTTTATATGAATTAATTGTGCTGCATTTGTGCAGCAGAGATTCTTGTGACACCAAATTTGTTTGATTTTGTAAATGTGGGAGGGCTGGCTGACCTTTGACAACCTCTGGAAACATTTAGTATCTTTAAAATGTCAGCTGCACATAAAAACGTTTTGCTGCTGCAGCACAAATATTTGACACCAGTTTCGTTTAATTTGCAGAAGGTGGGCAGCAACTTCACTCAGGTGGGATAAGGATAAGCTTCGTCTGCAAAGAGACTCAAAGAATTTCACCGAGTTCGTTACAAACTCACAAAGTGATCCCCGACAACCGAGACCTATCTGTAGTGAAAAGTGAAGCGCTTTCGTCACATGGTACACGTCAGGTTGTTCCTTGTGATGAACATTGACATAGGCATGTATTATGCAACTTCTAATGTTGTTAAGTAACTGAGTAAAAGCCTGGAGTTCAAGCTGGGCAAATCAGGCAGTTTAGAAAAAGGACGCGCTGTGGGAGATAATAACCCCCTTCAGAAGCGTTTTCCCTGGCTGGATCTTTTTAATGGCAGCATTTTACTGTTTACCCTCCAGCAGATCCTGAAGCTGCGGCAGGATCATCAGCAGGTATGCAGCTCAGTTATCGACGTCAGTGCTCCAGCTGTTGGAGCACAGCGAGGTGAGGCATTGTGACTTGATCCCTTTTGAGCCGCACAGTAAGAGGAGAAAGGAGAGAACAAGAGCCATGGTTACTGATTCATGTTCAGCTGCCAGAATGACGCACAGCGTCTCTCTCTCTCTCTTGCTCCCTCACACACACACACATGCAGAGTGTCCCAGAGATGGACGACAGTCCTCCAATGGGACCAGTCTCACCACCCTGTCCAGACAGATCTGGCTGCAGCAGCCCAGAGGTGCAGAAGTTACTAGCTTACATAAAATGTCTGCATCCTCCCCCTGTGTGCCATCTACTCTGGACTGCAGTGTTGTAACAGAGCTGTTCATATTATCAAGTGTTTGAAAGTCCCTTAAAAAATTCATAATGAGGCTGCGGTGGGCAGCGCATCGCTGGAAACGTGAACTTTCCCATCGTTCACTCACAACAGGTCTGTGCGTAGAAGACTGAAGAACCTGCTCACCTCGTGACAGATGCAGAATTCAAATTTGACTACACTGAATGTAAATGGTGTGTGTGTGTGTGTGTGTGTGTGTGTTGCCTTTAAGGAGAAAGTGCCATCAACAGCGGTGTGTGCTGGGTTATCGCAGACTGCAGTGTGTTATGTAAACCCAGTTTCACTCAGCGAGAAGGGAAGGGAGGGGAAGGCACTGCTACAGTCAGCACTGACTAAGAGGGGTGGAAATGAGGGGAGGGCTGCAGCATTTTACTTCTTTTTTTGTTTGTTTTTGTTTTCTCCTCCCAGTTGTATTATTATTTTTATTTTTTTCTGTCTGAATCTTTTCTTTTCCTCTGCTAGCAACCAAAATCTTTCCTGTCCTAACAGGGACTGGAACTCTGGAACATCACATTCTCTGCAATAGAAAGTGCAGCCCTGCAGGCAGACTGTGAAAATGGCTGATTCAAGTTGCATTAAAAAAAAATAAAAAGAAGCTAAATAGGCAACCGTTCTGCCAATTAGGTCACAGTAAAGACACTGACTGGGTCAGCAGTAAGCCAGATTGCCTGGGAGGAAACAGTCCTCCAGTCATTTTTTCCAATCATTTTTTGATACTGACTTTTATTTAATCCTTGCAGAGTTGCTGATGTTTGACTCCAGTGGCTTTTTGGTGAGAACCAGGGTGAACCCTGGAGAGGTCGCTGGTTCATCCCAGGCCGACACGGAGACACACAAGACAGACAACATGAACACGCTCACACTAAAAGGGCAACCTGGCCTCCAATTGACCTAACGTAGTGTAGTTTGGAACATACAGTGTTCAATGTGTGGACCAGTGGTGGAGAAAGTACTCAAGAAATGTACTTAAGTAAAAGTAC